TATATATTTCATAATTTATATCCTTAAAAACCAAATTTTTTTGGTTCCACGCCATTCTAATTGGCATGGAACGGAATACGCCACTCAGACTGGCGTGGAACCAGAAAATATAGCAAATAAAAACGTTGGCTAAATCGTTGTCAATTTAACAACGAGTTTGCCAACGGGCCCACCATAATCTGACGTGGATAACAAAACAATTACCAATTGCCAGACGCGTTAGGGCACGATTTTGGGATAGCAATGTCAGATTTGACAATTGCCAGACCCACTAGAGATGCTCTTAGTTTAGTTGTACGTGGACATGTGGGCTACTATACAAATGAGTGTAAAACCTTGATGATCATTCAATCAATCAATCATGTTACTTTAAAAAATGTACCATGAAACCAAGAATGGAATCAGCAATTGGAACTGGCAGTTCTTTGATTCTCTCAATGTGGTGATGCTTTTGGTTCATGTTAGATGAAAAAAATGTGTTAAATCATCTTTCATCTAGCTGGATAACTGGATTAGAGACATTATCAATCGGCCTTCAAATGAGTAGCTCAGTTGATAGTCTGCAACTGATTCAGCTTTCGCGCTTCTAGGAGATCAGCCGGGTTCAATTTGTTTTTGTTAGACGAAGAATTAGGAACATGGTCTGGGGAACAAGCTAGGGAATACCAACGACCTTACTTGAACAGGATCTGTTCTATAGGGAAGTACCTCTATATCCATGAGTACAAAGGAGACATCAACCAAAACCTGGTCGATGAATCAGGACCGTGCAATCAGAGCATAATTAATGGCTGGTGACTCTTGTGATGGGTTTCTCTGGCTGTAGAGGATCGTTCTAATCTTTTTTTTTTTTTCGAAACCAGACCATACCTGCTTTTGCGCTATGTCAATCTCACTTGAATGACAGTAGGTGTGTATGTACAAGTTCCAAAAGGTCTAGAGATGGACTTCTTTGTGGCTGAAAGGTTTGGCCAATCGTCATTGTTGGCACTTTCGGCTAAAGTGCTATTGACACAAAAATTTAACAAATGAACATCTCCACTTTTTACATAGAAATTTTTTTTCATCCATGACTTTGATGATGTCTTCCTTTATAGGTACAAAACCTCTGGGTTCATGTAACGTTCATGAGTTGGGGTTAGTCCCACATTGCCAAGGAATGGTTGTGGATTGTAGTATATAGAGCTTAACCATACACTAACTAATGTCAAGGCCTTTTGGGGAAAGCCCATGTAGGTGGACCCTGATCCAAAACCCTCTACTGCTGGAAGCCCGCAGTGACTAAAGGGGGACAATATTGACATTAGGGACCGGTATGGTGCTCGACACACCGGGATGAGCGAGGACGAAATCCCGGGGCGTTACAGTTCAAGTATTCAACTTACACACAATCTAGATTAAAAGATTGATTCATATATTTACATGAAAACTTACTTAATAAGAAATATCATTGGGTGACTGGCCTTAAGGTTTGGGTGGAATCTGCAATGTCTCTAACTTTCC